GACATATTGAGTGGACTATCAAAGATTGGATTTATGAGCTGTTTTTATTATTAACTCTTGGCGGCTAACTGACTGCACGGTTGGCGCAGTGGCTGGGCAACTGGCTGCCGCGCAACGTGTCGCGGGTTTGATTCCCGCACGGAACAATTCTTTGTGTGATCTACAGATTGTTGTTCCGGGTCTGGGTGTAATGTGTATGTAAACTTGTATGTTTGTAAACGCACCCACGACACAGGAGAAAATCCTAGTGTGGGGCAACGATTTAAAAAAAAACTAATTCTTTTGTAATACAAAAACCTATCATATCTAAGAATGATGAATAGGGATGTAAGTTACATAATAAAAAAATGTTAGATACATATTTTTTTATTTTGTCGTATAATAAAACAATACTTAGATAAACCGAATCAAAGTTTAGGAGTGGGGGCTAAAACGTCATTTCTACGTATAAAATGTACATAGAAGTGACATCACGTGACATTTCAAATCAATATATCATCGAAAGTATTCGTTTAAAAAAATAAAAAATACATATCTAATGATTTAAAATAATCTACCAGACGGAAATTAAAATAAAAACTAGGCATCTACCCTATTGATTGCATCCTTGTTTTTCAAGTTTTCGTCAAAATTTACTGTCCAATTGCGATGGTAGGACACTGGGAAATTTTCTATTGGACGGACCTTACGCTGTATAGACACGATATACAATAAACATGATTTGGTGAGCACAGAAATATTAGCTTGTATTGTCATTAGATTATAACAATGACAAAAACATGATCACGACAAGAATTACGAAATTAACACTGCAATGTTTAGGTGCAGAAGTAAAATGGCTTCCGATAAAACGTTCGTTAACTGTTCATTCTAATACATTGCAGGTACTAAAGCAATTAGCTCCAGGGAATAGACTCAATAGTGAACTGTTCAAATGTTCAAAAGAACCTGTAATTGGTCTATTTGAAACAAATTGTCTGAATTTTGAACTTCGAGAGCCATAGACATAAAAGTTTACGTTATTTTGTTGTTATTAACGTTTCTAACCAAGTATTTTGGTACTAATAAAATTCTTATTACAGTTTCTAAAGAGGTCGTTAGAAACATGAAAAGTCGTGTCGTGTCGTCGAAAAGAGAACCTAAAATTGCTGAAATGATTATGCGAAAACCAAATAAAAATGGCTAAAATACGCTTCAAATAATATGATTCTGGCAAATTAACTTGCAAAAAGTCAATAAAAGTGTTAGCAAGTTGAAAAATTGTAACGTAAGTACATGTAAGAACACATGAATATACTGAGAAAAGTTCTACTAGTTTCGAACTACAGAGGGGTTCTTCCTCATGAGTAGCGTGCGCGGTCGCGGCGATGTCGCGCAGCCTACTATTTTTTAGTTAATGTAGTACGGTCTCACGATAGTTATTATAAAAACATGTAAGAACACAGTTCACTATTTTGGTATTCATTTTCATTTTTCTTTTGCCTAAAATACATTCTAATCGAAAACAACTTTTAGTGAAAAACAATTTACTCCGAAACGCTGCAAAATAATCACTTTCTTACTAAATCGTAAAAAGCAATTTTTAGTAGCAGTTTTAAATCAATTTTTATTCACGTAAACACACTGCTATGAAATTATTCATGTTCTAATATTAAAAGTTTGTATGTTGCCAATACCTTTGGGGCAAATGGCGAGATGACCACAGACTATAAAAACTCAATAAAACCTCATATCAAGTATTTAAGGTTGAACATTCCTGGCTTTTATTATCTAGTTTATGTGAATTCCGTGCGGATTATAAAGGTAACTTCCTTATTATGTAGTAACCAAATATTCTGCTTTGAAATGATAGGAGTTTTATGGGGTTCGAAAACTATAAAAAATTATAATGGCTAATGTTTGAGTTCCATGTTATATGGGATAAACCTCTTACCCTATGAATATAATAAACATACTAGCGACCCGCCCCGGCTTCGCACGTGAGCAATAAACATGTATTACATGGGGACAGACAGACGGTGGATAGTGACTTTGTTTTATTTTATACTATGTAGTGGTAACTAAGTACCAAGAACAAATATAGAATTGATCATATTTTTTTGTATCAGATAAGTTATCCATTAAAAATTCAATCAATCATTAGAATGTCATCTTAGACAGCAGTCTAATGCATGCAATAAATATTGCCAACCTTCTTTATGAAGCCCAAACAATAATAGGTATTCAGATTTACAAATATTGTATCGGTGCAAAATTTTATTCCAATCTATACAATTTATAAACACGCCTAAGGTGTTAGATGATAGATATTGAGGAGTCTGTATCTCTGTTTACATCTTACACGTTTATGTTAGCGGTCGACGGCCAGTTTTTACTATCGTATTTACCCATGGGCTAAAAATATGCATCCATAAAATGTAGGTGAAAGATGGTCTGGCCTTGAATCCATAAGTAATGCAGAACATTTATTTTGTCTAAGTGTAGATATTTGATAAAGGAAATTTAGGTGACCTAGATATCTCTTACTATTTTCAACTGGCACGAATTTTTCTGTTACAAAACTTTTAGGGCATGTTTCGGTACATTCTTTAGACTTCAGAGCTAGATCCAAAGGCGACTACACAAAAAAAAATATCATACTTCTGCAAAACTGCTAAAATACCTCATATTTTTGACATACCACAAAAATTTCCCAGGAAAAAGTTTGAGAATTGTTTTCAAACCATTTCCCGATTTCAAGGAACTTTTATATGCTGAACTTCAAGCGTTAGCAGCGAAATGGGAAAGCAGGAAGCAATGTGAATCGTTTTAATACATCAAACAACTCGACGACACGGTATTTAACAAGCTTTCAAGCAATTCTATAACAAAACATCGCATTTACAAGCACCAGGAGTATACATTTTATTGCCATTTATTGCCATTTATTGCATTTATTGCCATTTATTGCCATTTATTACAAAACGATTAAGATCTTATTTTCTAATTTGATGGACAATACATTTTGAAACTTAAATTTTATGAAGTTCGATTCGAATGTCTAATTTATGATGCTTTAGTTGATTCTGGTATATTGTAATGAGTTCTCCATCAGTAACATAGAACGTAAGCAAACGTAAGACAGACGACTCGTACCTACTTAGCAAGTGAAGTTAGATCCCTCTTTAGTCTCCCAATTTCGGTATGGTAGAAATTGGCTTCAATAGTAATTAATATTAACAGAACTCGCGATCGATTCAAACCTACATATGCCAAAATAATGGTAAATATTAAATTCAGTCTTTCACACGATATTCTTATTCCACAATTCCACGCAAACCTAAAATTCCGATGCAATCACATACAATAAACTAGAACAAACGGTTTGGGGTTCTATGCAAATCATAATAGAGCATAAAATTGCCGTGAACTGTGACTTATGGAAGCATTTACATTTAGTTTCTCTTTACTGAGTCAGCGGAACAGTCCCCTACATAAATCTTGGAAAAGACACACCCTGTATTTATGAGATCAGAGACATAAAAAAGGATTTTGTTCTTTTTTTAAATTGTGCCTATAAAGTAGAGCACTGTACAAAGTTTTTTTTTTCTAAAAAGGTTTGATTTGATTTTAATCTCTCTTTCATTATACATAAGGTAGGATTTGCCATTTGTAAAACGTATTGTTTCGCAATTATTTTGTCGATTGAATCATAATGAGGGAATTTATGAAATCAGGATTACAAAAGGGATTTGTAAAATGGATAGGTACCTATCAGTGATAAGATTAGAAATATTTCCAGGAGTGAAATACTTTTTTATTGATGGGGTTTTAGTATGGATTGATCGTTTGTTATTCAGTAGTTTCTGTCTACTCTTTTGAAAACCAAGGCATGATTGAGAAATCCTAGGTATTTTTTTTAAAGAGGGAAAATCATCGAATTACTGCTCCCGCCTGGGTGAGGCGGAGGGAGTGTCAGACTCTTACTGACTAAAAACGTTCTAGGTTTTTTAATTTTTTGTAATATTAACATCTATTTTTCATTTGATGTCATATATTCTAGTTTACTTAATTTATGTTGAGATTTCAATCGATTATATTTTTAATTTAAAAAAAAATAAACGTTGCCCCACATTAGGATTTTCTCTTGTGTCGTCAAACATACAAGTACACATACACAATGACACCTACACCCGAAACAACAAATTTGTGAACAAAGTGTGGATCCGTGCGGGAATCGAACCCGCGACACGTTGCCCGGCCACCGCACCAACCGTGCAGTTTTGCTTGCTCTTGCTCTTGCTCATCAAACTTTAGTTACGGCGACATTTTTTGTATAATATAAAAAGAGACTTTACAGAAAGGTTTTTGTAATAGATAGGGTTAAGTCTACTTCATTTCTTTTCAAAAAAGGTTATCGTCTAGCAAATTATAGGCGATCACAAAAATAAATAAAAGGCAGAATGATCTTGAGACCTTTTTCTGTTCTAAATTTGAATATTACACAGAACGGCTCAGAATTGAGAGAAAATATTGTTTTTGGCGGCAAAGGGACAATATTTAGAGGCGGCCATTTTGAATTGAAGTCTGGGTAGAGTTTCAATCATTGTCTTGAATATTTACGATTCCATTTATCTTTGTTGTGGTCAGTCTATGACCACAATGGATAGTGCTATGATTCACTCAGTTTTAGAAGTATGTTGGATAACATTCTTTGTTCTATTTTTAAAGGCTTTTAAGTTACGGTTACATTCTTTATAAGTATATTGTTAATTTGATGATTAAAAAAAAACAAAATGTAGTAAAAAAAATTAAATTTATTAACGTTTTTATAATAACTATCGTGAGACATGTCATAGTAAATTAACTAAAATCACGGGTTACTCACGTGAATATACTGAGAAAAGATCTACTAGTTTCGAACCACAGAGGGGTTCTTCCTCATGAGCAGCGTGCGCGGTCGCGGCGATGTCGTGCAGCTCACAGAAGTGAGCTAGTAGAGCTTTTCTCAGTATATTCACGTGAGTAACCCGTGATTTTAGTTAATTTATTATGTGTTGTTGTTCTAAAACGGACCTATATTTTTATTTTCCGTATTCTTATGTCAATTACATTCTTTAATTTAGATTGTTACTTTTACTTTGTTTACTCGCCATATTGCGTACCAAATCTCTAGAAATATAATTTGTCTAATTTTAATGTTTATAATGTTATTATTCAGTTCCTATATAGCTTCATTTTTCACTTGTTACTATGTACAAAAAAGAAGAGAGAATACAATATCCGCACTCATAACCCATAACAAATTGCAATTTCCGTCAAGCACGCCCGGCTTTTGGGCTCCCAGTAAATGTTCATATAAAATAATCATTATTTCCAACGTTTTGTATCCCAACAGTTTTAGGAAATAATTAATTAAGCGTTCGACGAAACAGTTTTAAACAATTCAACAAATTTGAAACAATACTAGGATTTTTTAACTCTACTCATGCATATAACATAGATTTAGGTTCTTAACTATTTAAGTCTGACGGCATTTCTTATGACATTACCAAAGCTATATGATCTGACACTATCATACTTATAGATAGGTTTTACCTAGTACATCTTCCAATAGACCTTGAGCAGCTGTTATCTCCTATTCTGATTTAACCTCTTGTCTGTTGATATATGAGACACAATAGAAAACACCTTGTGTCTCGCGTAGATTAAAATCCATCTGTCTACTCCGAAAACGACTTCAAATTCCACATATTTAGAAAGTCTGTACTCTAAATCTATCAAACACTTCAAAACACTTACAAAACTTTCAAGTTCAATCTATAATTATCTTGTTATATACATTTCCTTAAAAATCTTCTCTTTCTATACACCTTAATGAAACTAATCGTCGCACAAACAGCCACAACTACCCGAAACTGTCATTTTCATTATCGACTTTATCACGAAACAATAAAGTCAAATATTGTTTGTAGAATGAAAAGAATAAACGACACTGTAAAGGTTCACTGATTTTCACACACTCTTAAACATATGTAGTCTGTAATTCCGTATGTGAGTTCGCCCTTTGTGTGGGCGCACATCGATTCCGGATCATTTGTCCGAACGTTGTTCTGAACTGCCTTGACATGGAGCAGTACAGGACGAAGTTTATAGCTCCATTGAGGAGTGCGAGTGCATCCATCAACTCTCCAAAGAGGTCGTAGCACTGCTTGAAGAAGCACCGTCCAAGAACTCCGCTTAGTAGACCTGTGAACAAAAATATTGTATTAATATGAGATCGACACACACTTTTTGGACAGGGAATTGGCACTTTAAAAACAGCATCTGAATTTTACAACTCTGAAGAAATATACCATGTTTGGAATTCAGTAAAACGGTCATTAGGTTTTTAAATTTGATTTAACTGAGTCATGAGAGCTTCATAAGTATTAAACATCTAATAAAATCTGCCCCAAGCCGAATTAGGACGTAGAACTCAACCGTCATATAATAATTAGACGACATAACTATCTAAAAATACAGTCATGTTTACACGTACTCTCTCCTGTTACAAAACAGCACTTATTTATTAGTAAGTACAACAAGAAAAATGAAAATGTAAACAACGATATTGGTTTACAAAAACCGAAGCCAACGTAATTAAAAATAGGTACTACTGCGTACTACATGGGCGGTGTTTATACAAACACACACCCACTCTATTTCTGTGGTCGGGTAAATTTATTGCTGACTGTTTTGCCTGATTTTCATAACATAACATGAAGCTTGTTATTCTTTCAAGGATTTCTATACTCAGTTTTAGTCTCATTACAGATGAGACCAATAAATTAACCAGTTTTATTCTGACGTACGGCTATAACCCATATTCGAGAACAATATAAAAGTTTTGAAAATTTCGTCTTCCAAAAACATGATACTTTTTTTATAGCATAAGCCGGTAAACGAGCATACGGATCACCTGGTGGTGAGCAATTGGCGCCACCCATGGATACCGAAACACCAAGGCGTTGCAAGTGCGTTACCGGCCTTTTAGGAATTGGGAATTTGAGGATTGTGGAGGATTCGGGGATTCGGTAATAACACCTACTTTGGACAACTCGAGGTTACAATCTGAGACTTTATCAATGTGTAATCATTAGGTAGTAGTTGGTAAATGAAGTATTTAAACGAGTGAAAAAGTCAGTATATGAAATTGACAAACTAAATTATGTCAGAACTTATGTTAATCCCATATATTGACTTTTCTATAAACTCATTCAACTAACATTTAATACCATTTGTCTAAAGATACCGTACAACTAACAATCAATAACAACAAATGAAGTCACGAACAAAACGAAATCCTTTAATCTAATTCAAAGTTTACTTGCAGCGATGAAAACCAAGATAAATGATTAGCAATTCGTCAAAACTTCGCTGGTTAATAAATCACTTTATAAAGTTCTTCGTGAAACTGAAAGGGCGATTTGATTAATACCAGACTCATAAAACCTTCCATCTTGTATGTTTAACATCATAGAGAATGGATTTATTAACTCCTCGTATAAATTATATTTACTAAACAAATGTAAAGTTCACTGTGCGTAATAAATTGAGCTGAGAAAATAATGAAATGTGGTACTGTTGTGGCTACCTCATGGGTATTGGGTATTTACCTTTTTTATAACCTCTAAGGGCCGATTTTTCAATAATAATTCATCAGTTAATAAATGAAAATAACTTTGAATATTTGACTATTCTTCCATACTAAAAACTGTCAAGTGTCAAATCTACAGTTAAGAGTTAACTGATGATTGAAAAAACGGCCCTAAATCATTAAACCTTAATAGACAAATTGAACTGCTATAGGTGAAATATTCAATGTTCGAATCTTCCGTCAACAGAAAACTAACGATGCTAGCGATTGATCTACCTTTATTTTAAAATGTTGATAAGCAAAAACTAACAGCTAAGAACTGAACGAAACAAAGCTAAATGAAATAGGTTCTCACCTAATATTCCTTGAGGAAACTCTGTCAGCAAGAAGAGCAGTAATACAGCCACCAGCATCTTCGTTGTCCTATCAGTTCTCCTCTCAGCTTTGGACCTTTTGGTGGACTTTCTGGTGAAGACATTCCCGTTGCCATTGACAACCGTTGTGGCTGGACAGGCACTATAGCCCTTGAGCGCTTTTTTCCTACTATTAGCTCTGTACAGCGCCCTGATCAGCCATGCGCTGATCACTGTTAAAATGACGCATGGTAACAACTTTATAAGTACTGCGTGCACCCAAAAGTTTATTTGGTACAGGCTGCCGTTGTAGTTTGAATCGACGAAGTATACTTTAGTCAACATGTTCCCGCTCTTGTCGAATGCAAAGTCTTTGTGTATTGTGAATACCTGTAACAGAAATTGTTTTTGTTAGTATTTGTTTATACACAACATAAACAACATCACGCCTTTTATCCCCAAAGGGGTAGGCAGAGGTGCACACAGACGTAACATCCACTTTTCACTATTTATGTTATGAGTCCCATATAATAGGGGGTGAGCCTATTGCCATATACCGAGCACAATACCGAAATTTTTTTTAAAACCCAGTATTACTTTGCCCGACCCGGAAATCGAACTTGAGACCCCTTGCCTGGCAGTCGCACTGGCGGCCAGTTGGCCAAAGATTTTCGTCTATATATAAGTCTATCTTTTCTATAATAACGTCACTTACGACGCTACTTTTGCATTACCATTTTCTCAATAAGCCAAAAACTAATTGTGCCATCCACTTTTCATAAATTATGTCAGAAGTTCGGTTCGGAAGAAACTTGTGCTTAGAATAAATAAACTGTTATTTATTAGCTGAATACAAGTTTTTATAGAGATATATTGTAACGAGGCAAACTTATTACCAATTTTTAAACTTAACAAAGCAATCTTTATTCTTTAGGTATTTACATTATTAGGTCCGCAATTTCTTCAGAACAATCAGCCATTAAAAGGACCTCCGTAAAAGCAATAACTTGTTTGAAATTTCATACAAAAGGCTCTTATTTCCAGATTTCCATTAACACTTAAATTCGACCTTTATTTTATAGATACATCGATCATGTTCTGTAACAATTTAGTAGAAAAACGTTGGTATTGATAAGATAATATCTCGATTCTCGATATCACACTTTTTGCCTGACCGAACTCGAAATTAGCAATCTAGCACTATCGTCCGATAACCTTTATACAATGAGCTAATAGTGCATCTAACGCCTGGTTTTAAGGAAGGGGATAATTTAGCTTGAACAGTAATTTAGCATTACATAATCGCAGATATTATTTGTTAAAAGAGGTAGGTACCTACCGTAAAATACGACACTATACAATATAGGGGATATTGTCAGCAAAAGGGGAAATCATTACCCGATTTAAATACCGAACACAACTAAAAAAGAAAACATTATGTGACTATTGTTTTGTACCTACTTACAAAACGTGTTTACAAACGACTACAAGACGTTTCACCGAAACTAACACCGATAAAACTTATCCAATATAACATGGGCGCCTACAAAACTCAGATAATGTTAGAGAAATCAATTAATTAAGGCGAGGCAACCTTGGCTACAATAATGGCATAGTTCCACGCTATCCAACTGACATCAATCGCTCTACAGGAATCAACGAGTATCATAAATCATTGTGTAGGAAACAACACTTCAATCAACCGAGATAGAGGCGAGATTTGCTTGGAAGATTCCTAGACATTATCTGGTGAGGTACCTGTTCTAATGTGAATGGAATATTAGAGTAAGTATTGTTGAGAGACATCATCGTATATCTTTGGAGAGGTGTACTTAAAGAAGCTTTACCTTTGCCAGTTAGATAAATCAAACAAAAAGGGTATTTGTTAGTACCTATTTGGTGTCTATGAACACCCAAACCCTTACCATATTTTCTTAAGATTTAGTACCTAGAATCGATTTTTTTTATAGTTGATGGTTGGATGGTGAAGGGTCGGCACACCCTTGACCACTATCTCGCCTGATGGTCAGCGATGATACCTATTCACTCGGGCCTTGAAGACACCCTGACACCCTTCAAAAATATAGACTCTGGTAAAGAATTCCACTTCTTAGCAGTACGCAGAAGGAAGCTTGATGCCAAGCGCTTCATGCATGTGGGTGGGACATCTACCATGAATCAGTGACGCTTAGCCGATTGTCTTGTGGTACGATGATGGGAAGGACTAGAGGGAATCAAATTGTGCATTTCCCCGCACACTTCAATTTCGAATGAACGAATTCTTATGCTAATGTATAAGGGTTGTCATGGTATCGCATTTAAGCCGCTTGAACAACACAACGATACTGGTAATATTCCTTCAACATTTTTCCTCAAATAGATACTAATTTACAGCTAGCAATGAATATACTCTTTTCTCTCTAGAGTTATATGACTATATTTCCGAACCGTGAACTGACAGGTTTATATCTCTACGTACCTATATACATACATTAATACATGTGCATTGTATACATCTAAAACTCTTCTAGAAAGTACGTTGAGAAACCAAGATCTACTTTTATAAATGTACTGACGAAAACAAATATTTATTAGCGAATATAAATATGGACTGTATTGGTAGTCTGTTGAGTTTAAACAACTTCTGTGTATGTCTTGGTTATGTAGTACATAGGATAGGTAGAGTTATAAGAATTTTACTTTAATTTATTAAAACGCTTGCTGTAAGACTGGAGACACTTGACTAGTTGTACTGTTCATCTCCTATCACTTGGGACAGGAAAAATTAGAACACAATTTAACTGAAAACAATCTTTCTTTCTTTTTTTCTAAAAAGGATTCATAATAAAAAAAATATCTAGGTTACATATTTTTTTATTGCAAATAACTTGAATAGGCATGAACAATGAACATACTATGTAACTGGTATTGTATGTATATACCCTTTGAAAAATCAATATTCAACCTTTTGCGTGATAAAGGACAGACAGCAACAAAATAATTTAGTATGGACTATGGAGTCCATCCTATGTCAATCCATATAAAGCCATAAAATACATACATAATTTTGTATGGAGACAAGGTATATATATATGTGTTTGTTTGTTTGTTAGTTTATCTAGAGGAGGAGGATTACTCTCCTCCCCAATACCCCCAATCTCTTCAATCCATGAATCCCTCACAATCCTCAATTTCCTAAACCTCAAACGGCTGGTAACGTACTTGTAACGCCTCTAGTGTTTAGGGTGTCCATTTCCATTTCGGGCGGCGCGGATTGCTTACCATCAGGTGATCCGTTTGCTCGTTTACCGGCTTATTCCATAAAAAAAGATTGTGAACTATATTTTCATTTTTCTTATTTGTAGCGCTTTAACTACCAAACAATATAAATGATAGGAAAAAATTAAAGTTTGGAATACTTTAATTTATTTTAATAATCTAACCAAAAGATCTTACATATTATGCGCTTCATATTATTATTTGATATTGACATTTCACACTTTGAACAGGTATTTGTATGTATTTTCAAAAACCTTTCTGCATTAAACCAAATAAATACGATTGTACAAAATTTCATATTATGATCATTAAGAGAAAATAAACCAAATGGATGTCGTGGTGGCCCGGAGGTTTAAGACGCCCACTTCTCATGCATGAGGTTCGTGAGGGTTCGAAACCTACCAACGGCAAGTACCAATGTGACTTTTTCATAGTTATATGTACTTTCTAAGATTATTTAGACACCACTGACAAACAGTGAAGGAAAAACATCGTGAGGAAACCTGAACTTATAATTTCTAATTATAAGTTTGAAATCGCCAACCCGCATTGAGCAAGCGTGGTGATTAATGCTCTAACCTTCTTTGTGTGAGAAGAGGCTTTGCTCAGCAGTGGGCATTTATAGGCTGTTGATGATGAAACCAAAAATTAATTTAAAATAAGGTTCAAAATTGGACACGGACATCCAAAAACCACAAGTTAATTATTTTTGAAAAATGATTTAATTATGACTGCAAATCAGTAACACGTGTCGTTATGAAAAATGGGGTTCTATATAAAGGCCTTTCGGTTCATATTTCAATGTATTTTCAATCCTTTAATATTATTTTCATTTCTGTAATGCAATTCGATGTTGAATTTGAGGTTTTTACACGCAAAGGCATCTGAAAATGGTTTGATGATATACCTAATGTAAATAATTAATTCGTTGGCATAAAAGTTCAGTGGGATAAAATATTTTCGACTAGCAACCTGCCTCGGTTTCGCTCGGGTACAATATGCATGTACATAATATACGTATAAACTTTCATTAAGAATCACACCGCCTATTAAAAAAATCTTATCAAAATGCGTTGCGTCGTTTTAAAGATCTAAGCATATATAGGGACAGCCAGACGGCGGATAGTGACTTTGTTTTATACTATGTAGTGATACATGTTCTAGTTTAGTTTTGTTAAAGTTTTTTTTACATAGAGTTTCTTTAGTAGAATATCTGATAATCAATTATTATTACGGAATATTACCTTGTGTCAAAAAAAAATACCTACTGTTTGATCACTTGCTGCATCATAATATACCTACATACGATACACATAGGTACCAAAATACAATTTTTTACAATTATTGCGTGTGTTTGTCTGTTTTTCTGTTTGTACTGGCTAATCTCTGGAATGGCTACACCGATATTGCTGATGTACTTCAAGTAACATAGGCTACTTTGATTTTGAGTAATTGAATAATACTCAAAATCAAAGTAGAATATGAATACACTCATATTCTACGCTGACAAAGTCGAGAGCAACAGCTAGTGATAAAAACTCTTTGTAGGTAAAAGTCATAGCCATTTGATTTCTTCATACCGATAGTTCGGGTCAAATATGTGTTAGGAAATGTCTAAGCAAGATGTGATTTAACCACAAAAAAATTAAATTACAGCACTTAGTTTAAAAATATGTTGTTACTTATAAAATATGCATTTCTACTCCATTTTTCGAATATTATAAAAGGGGATATTCTGTTGCTTATCCCTGTACAAACTACCCATTTTATATCCATTGTTCTTCTCATATTATTCAACCTTTGTAGGATTATGAAATGCGTATACCTCTATGTACATATTTTAAAATATTCGGAAAATGGCAAAAGCTCTCTTATAGTCAGAAAATGTTTCCAAGATGTAGAGAGAATAGGAATGATGGCAGGGTATGAAAATTAAAAATCTAATTAGGCCGTCAGTTAGATAAGGCAATAATATTAGACACATATTTTTTTATTTTGTCGTATAAGGAAACAATACTTAGATAAAATGAATCAAAGTTTAGGAGTTCCGGTAACGTTATTTTAGAGTAGAAATCGTGCTCAAAAGTGACGTCATGTGATATTTTAAATTAAAATACCTTCAAAATATTCGTTTCCTAAAAAAATAAAAAAAAAGGGGCTAAAGTTTTTAAATAATCTACCAGACGGACATTGAAATAAAAAGTAGTCATCCTATCATGAACCTTAAACATTTATAAATAAGGATTAGAAACCGTTTCCCACTCATTAGAGGAAAGTGACCAAATATGGAATACCGTTTTGTTTCTTACGCATAATCTTCCCAAACGTTGCAAATAATAAAACTTTTTGTGGTAATTACAACAATTATATATTTTCGCTTTATTTTGTAACAAGAATTGCATACTTTTAATACGTTTGAGTTAGAAATTAAAAAAAAACTAAAAGACAATAATGGTACCTAAATTTGGAATAGGTACCCCAAATATGGAATAAGTACTATAAATACGATTAAAACTAAACCGGAACTTACATAAAACTCTTTAGAAAGGTTGATACAACATAGAAAAGAACACAACGTGTTTGCAAAAGTCACAAATCCAGGCACCAGTCTGCTCCGGGGCAATCAGTATGTGCCCAGAGTCCACATATGAGGCACTTGACCCCTGTTTCTCAATGAGTATCATTTGAAAACAGAATATCGCAGAAAATACACTCCGAGTCTTCAGAGTCTGGAGTTGTAAACTTGTAAACTGACATTATTATTTTTATATGTAAGAAATAAATACAATTAAATACCACCGAAATCGACAAAAGAACATCTAAACTGTCTCTAAAAGTTATAAAAACAATACGATGTGCACTTTTTAAACGAAAAATGCGTATCTTTCACATACGTTAGAAAGTTATGCAGAAGCGGCAAAACAAAACACTGCAATATTGACGAAAGGGCTCACTCGACTGATATGCCACAGTCTGTACTCGTAGATAGGGATAGAAACAAAGAGACAAACAGTGTTTCTTGCGTGTGTGAATTATAGTTTGTTAGTATTGCCGGTATTCCATATTAGGGATACTATTCCATATTTGGTCACTTTCCTCTAATAATATGAATAAAATACAGTGTGTTCAAAATTAAAGGTACATAACTAATTTCTATTTTAATATCCGTCTGGTAGATTGTTTTAAAATATTAGACACGATTTTTTTTTACGGAAACAAAGACTATCTGCGATATATTGATTCGAATTACCGCGTGACGTCACTTCTAGGTAGATATGTTTTATACGTAGAAATGACGTTGCAACTCCCACCTCTGAACTTTGAATTGTTGTATCTAAGCATTGTTTTCTTATACGACAAAATAAAAAATACGTGTGTAATTTTTTTTCATTATCTAACAGACAGACTAAATAGATTTTATATTTTATATCTTGTCATCATCCCTATTAAACAGGATTTCGTTTAATACTTACAAAATACGAAGGTATGCAGAGTATGGGCGGCAGTATGAAACTGAGCAAAATGGCAAGCGTACATCTCCGGTCCGTGCATAGCGACGGACTGTATGTAGGGTACCTGGGGACAAAGTTGCATAATAATAGCTTATTATAAAATAAAGATACTGATGACTCCTCGTCGTCGCCTTGTTGGCCGAGTGGTCGTAAGTGCGACTGCTGGGCAAGGGGTCTCGGATTCGATTCCCGGGTCGAGCAGTTTTTTTTAGAAGTTCTCAGTAGTAGGTAGGACGGAGTCTGGAAATGTGTCCGGTATATGGCAATGCTATTTCCTATCCCTATTACATGGGACTCATAACATCAATACATAGTATAAAACAAAGTCGCTTTCGCTGTATGTCCGTATGTATGCTTAGATCTTTAAAACTACGCAACGGATTTTGATGCGGTTTTTTTTAATAGATAGAGTGTTTCTTAAGGAAGGTTTGTATGTATATACATATTGCACCCGTGCGAAGCCGGGGCGGGTCGCTAGTAAATAATAAAAAGTGGGTGTTACATTGTACAGTGGCGTTAAGTGTCGTAATGTGCAATGTGTCCTCTACCATAAATATGGTTTAAGACATATGCCACACAATATTGTGTGATAGCGCCACCTCTTCCCACGGGTATTGTACCTAAGAGCCGACTATAGAATTCCGTACTTAACAGAGGCAGGGCAATAGCGCTCTTAGACGTAAACCTATTATATGGCGAATTTGACGACAAATCAATAGTGTACCTATCAATAGGGTAATTCGTATATACCTATAGGTATTGTGTTCAATGGACTACCTATACCTTTCACAAAGGTACAAAGTCAGTAATAATCTATACATAATAGTAGGTACCTAGGTCCTTTATACTCACAAACCTGTATAATTGAGTAGTACAAAGTTATTTTATGCGATAAGGCTGTAAATGAGCTCACGGATCACCTGATGACCACGGATCACCTATCAGAGCCGCCCATGGACACTCAAAACACCAGAGGCGTTACAAATCCGTTATCTTTTGGGGATAAGGAATCTGATGATTGTTGGGAATTCAGGGATAAAGAGCGAAACACAACGCAAGCGTTGTTTCACGTCGGTTTTTTTTGGGTCGTGGTATAGCTCCGGTCGAGCCGGCCAATCTGTACATGGCTCTCCCATTAAAAAAACATAACA